GGGATGGTCTTCAAACACAGTGAGACAGACTCCTTTAAATCACAGCAGTTTATATCAAGAGAACCTTCGCTTTTTTGTCTGTGCCCATATTAGTTTCCAAATCTTACAGGATAAACCACATTCCTCCAAACAAAGTGGCCCTACATCCTGGGGGCTAGCTGTGGTACTCGGCTCAACGGGCATGCCTAATTTTGACCAAACACCATTGAGAACTCACCCAACACAGAAGGCTACTTAGTAGGATTGGTAAAATACACATAAGAAGGGTTATTGCTATTATTGTTATTTAAAATTGGTTATAAAACGTCAGTGTCATAATCTCACAGTCTAACTTCTAAATAGAGAAGAATGCCCAAAGACGTGTATGGAGGTATAGGGAAGAGTTATCCACATTGTAAAAACAAGAGCTGAAAAATTAAGGATGAGTCTTTAATCAGCATTTAGGCAGGAGAATATGCAGGCTAACTTTCCAACAGTAACAATCTAAGCTGGTAGTTATCTCCAAATGTGGATATGTAAGAACCCCTAAAAGACTCTAGCCTTTCATGACTTAATCCAGGCCATGAAAATCCAGAGAAGAGTTAGTTTTTCCAGCCCTGAGCTCTGAAACCTTTTTTCAGTGCTTTCATTGCTTCTTAAAACAGTAGTCAGATATTGTCATGCATTTTTGGATCAAGTCTACGTTTGGTCCAGCCAAATGCATTCAGAGTCTGGCTGTGACCTCCATCAGAAAAAAACAATTTAGATTTGTACTTAAATGTAAGACAAGAAGATGTGGAGGATGCAAGAGAGAATGCCAGCTTTCAGCTGTAGTATCTGCTAGGTTTCTGCCTGTTCCCTTGATTGCTCACTTAAACATAACACATGGCAGTGGTGAAAGGCAAAGTGTCACTGAGCTGCAAGCCAAACCAGACCCAATTTTATGGCTATGTGTGATACACAGATCAGTCCTGCCTTAGCCCCAGTGCAAAGGAAAGGCATGCTCTGGAGAAAGAGCTTTATGTTCCTTGTTACTTTTGAAAGATTTCAAAAGAAGCCTTGTTAAAAGAAAAAAAAAAAAAGGGCTCAACTATGAAATCACTTCCTTCTGTTTAAAATATTTTACTCAAGGAAAAAAAAAAAAAACAACACAAAAGGGCATGAAAAGGAAAAAAAAAAAAAAATCTGTTCTTTGCTTTTGACTTGTTCCTAGGATTCAGCATCCCACCCGCTCTGTGGGATGACGCAGCGTGCCAGATCCCGACCGCTCCAGCCAGTGCGTCAAGCGGCCGTAGCCCTCCCCACACAATCACCCTCTTGTCGGAGGTGGCTGGCATCCACCCCACATGCGCTGACAGCATCACTGCCTGGGATGACTGCACCCCTTCGGTGCAGCTCTTCTCCTCTTGAAGCAAGGCAGGAAGGCACAAGGAGGGTAGGCTGTGTTAGGCAGCTAACAAACAAGAAGCTCTTGTGTTAATTGCCTCCTCCTCCTGCCCCCCGAAACATATCGTGGATGGGGACAGGGGAAAAGATGATCTTCTGCTTGCAGTAGTGAAGCTTTGCCTGGGAGTACAGCCAGCAGGATGGCTTGAGGAAGACCCGTTTATGGAAGTTTAAAAGTCAAACCAACAGCTCATTGCTGCCCAAATCACAAGCGGGTTACTTATGGCTGAGCATCATTTTAATGAAGATCCCAAGAGGTTTGCCCCTCTCTGCCAATGCTCATAGGTTTACTCAGACTCCCAGCTCTGTTTTTCCTTGGCTCCCAAGGCACCCTCCCATTCCTCCACAATGAATTGCCTCTTCCTGCATAAGTAGGCTGACGCACACCATCTCCCTTCCCCACTCAGCTGTGGGGTAGGAGAGGAGGGAGAGGGATCTTAAGAATAAACTAAAACACTTCGTTTCCAGTCTCCACCTCCTACAAAAAGTTGGTTTCTGCGTCAAACAGCAAAGTATTACCCTGGCCTGCACCATTAGGAAAGGCACAGGGTCTTTTCCTCTGTGTTGTTGAGCTTCACTGATGCAGAAAGAGCCAGATTGCATGAGACAAATGTTCAGCAAGTTGCTACAGGCAGCCTAAGACACCCACCTTTTCTGCCTTTCCCAAAGCTGAAGCAGATAAACTTGCAGCACTGCGCATTCACTACCTTTGCAAGAAGGCACTCAAGAAGTATAACACTTGAAATGAAATCTTTTGCTTGTGAAAATTTTAAGTCAGACTTGCGAGCAGACTACAAGCGGTGCCAGAGCACCAGGACACCTGCCTGATCAACAGACTGACCGCACCCTGTACTCCAAACTGAGATACCACCTAACCAGCGCTTCGAAGTGATGCTTAGCTTTTCTCCTTTAGAACCACAAAACAATCCTCCATTGGAAGTGCAGACTCAGTAATGTGGGACAGCACTTGTCAGCTGATGGCTGTTTCTCATAGTTCATCTAGCAGTCTGCTTAACACTGTGCTGCACAAACATTTAACCTCCCTAAAGTCTCTGTGGTTGCCCCCATGCCCGATTCTTGCTTTCAGGCTATTTTTTAAAATTTATTTAATTTTATTGAGTTTATTTAAAGAAACCCAGACAAACAAAAACCAAGAAACCCACAGCTCTTTCCCAGCCATCTTCACCTTGCAACTGTGTCTCACAGGTGGTAAGGAGGTGAAAGTATTGCTGCTTCCTTACGCTATAGCCCTACAACTGACCTCCAACTAAAGAAACCACACTGCTTTGAAAAAAAAAAAACAAAAAACCCGAAACAAACAAAACCCAAACCCTATTCAAAATAATACTGAAGTGGGAGATCCAAGTACAGGATGAAGAGTGTCACAGCCTGGGAGTGCCTTTGTTTTCTTCAAACATATTTAAGAAAGTATTACATTACCTCCCTCCATAAGTAGTGGTTTATGCAGATTAAAAGAGGTGTTAAAGCAGAGTGTGTGCACAACACTGAATGAATTTAACTGCACCAGTAACAAAAAATAAGGTCCATTTCGAATTTTAAAGAAAGCTTCAACATGTGGTACCTGCAGTCCTGAAAAATCTTAATCCAAAGAGCTCCAATGAGGAATCAGAGATATTACTGAAGTACACCAGCAGCTAAACTTGAGTCACCTTCAGTTTGGCTAATGCTACTTAACCTGTGGAGTTGCTTCACTGTTTCCAGAATGGTGTCTGGAAAAAATACGGCACTTATTAGGGGGAAAAAAGGGCTATGTTACGTTGCTTGTACACCTCTACTGTTGTGGCCACACTGGTTGGCCTGTACATTTTCCCTGTGACCTCTGCTTATAGGAGAACACAGGAGGGTGCAGTGACTACCTAGCCTTCCAGCTGCATACGTATCTCTAGTCCTGTACATGCTTGGGATTAGCTGCCAGGTACTATTTATCCAGTGACTATTTATTTCTACAACCTGCATTGCACCGGTATAAGCACTTACTATTTCACACCCACTTTATTTATTTATTTATTTAAAATCTGAGGCAGTCTTTCACCTTACAGGAAATACCCCACTGCTGTATGAACAGTGATTCCTTCAGGAGGGAAAACAAGGATATATTTCCTAAAAAGATGACTGCAAAACCCGGATTTTCTCTGTGTTCTTAACCTCGTTTTGCCTTCTGCAAGGAGGATCACAGAAGTGGGGAGGGATGGATTTCTGAATCACCAGGCAGTCAGGAGAGGTGTTACCCATCACTACAGCCTCCCTCACAAAACTCGGAGTTTCTTTCCCTGAAGAGAAGAGCAGGACATGTAGGAATAAGACTTATTAATGGCTGAACAGGTTAGTCAACTACACAGTTCATATTCTGGTTGCAAAGCTAATCATTAGGTCAGAGAGCAACACGTACTTCTTAAACTGACATGAGTTGACACAGTGAGTCACATCAAATCTCTGCAATTATTCTGCTACGTTTGTGTAGACAGTAACTGCTAGAAAGCACAAGTCACAGCGTAGTCATGGAAATCAGGATGGCAAAGCAAGAAACAGCGCTAAATTTGGGGCTTTGCAGACTGCATACAGTTGCATTTTTGGACTACTATGGTAAATTCATGATGCAACAGGGTACTAAGATCCCAAGAGACCTGTGTACTGTGCTAGAATACCTCATGTGTGGGAGCACAGGTTGGAACAAGGGGACAGCTGGCATCATCCATGTCTGCCTGCAGCTCACCATCATATGCAGCAAGAGCAGAACAAGCTGCAAAGAACGTCACCTGCGAATGGCACCCAGTATCCAGGCTGTGTTTCCTATGCTTTTTGCATAAGGAAACTGAGATCTCCAGACAAAACCCAGGTACAGCTATTCACAAAAAGACAGGAACCTTCTGATGCCAAAGCGTGTCATGATTTTTGCCTCACGTTTCCCTGTTTCCCAAGCCCTGAAGCTTAGGCACCTCCTGAGCAGCATGCTGAAGCACACCAGTGCCTCACATTCTACTTTTCTGTATTAGCAAGTTGGCAGATATTTAGGTGTGCCAAACAGTATATACCTGAGTGAACTGTACATGCAAGTCCTGCTTATCATGCAAAATTTTTTCATCAATAGCCTATAGCCCCTCATTGTTCTCCAGACATGGGAGTATTGCCCGAATACACACAACACTTTTTTGTGTGGCAAAAGGGAGATAAGCAGTACTTCAGTGGAAGATTGAACCTTCCCTGTACTATTTTAAGGTTGCAGCTATTTGGCATCTTCAAAGGCAAAAGGGCAAACACTACACAGGATATGCTGCTACAACAGGTTTTAAACCTGCATTGCGGCAAAAACCTACCACCTCACATGTTGAAGTCCTGGATTTTCATCAGTTTCATGTTACAGGGCTGAGTGACCTAGCCTTTTACACCCACTTCCATAAATAAGCTTGGTAGTCCCAACTCAGTAATGAATGCTGGGGGTTCTTATTGCCCCCACCTCTCCTAGTGTCTTCCAAATGCTGCTGACCTCCTAGAAGCTGAAATCACCTAATAAGAAACAGAGAGGGGAGAACAGAGCAGGCAAAGTAAGCACTTACCAAGCACAATCACCACAGTCTTCAGGAGGCTCATCATGGTGTCCCGATTCCTGCGGGGTCCAGAACTGTGTCTGGACATTCTCATAGTCCTTTGGCGGACATATCCAAAGATATGAGCATATAGGACCACCATGACCACAAAAGTAACCAGGTTGAAAATAGCCCAGAAGACCAGGTAGGAGTCACTATAGAGTGGTGCCATGTTGGAGCAGTGAGTAATATCACAAATACAGTTCCATCCAACACTTGGTATGGCGCCCATGATGATGGCCATAGTCCAGATAACAACGATTACGACCACCACTCGCCGGTTGCTCATCCGAGTATGTAGCTGCATTCGGAAAACTGTAATGTGCCGCTCAATAGCAATGGCCAACAAATTGGCTACAGAGGCTGTCAGGCTAGTGTCAATGAGACCCTGACGGAGAAGCCAGGTGCTTACAGTCAATCTTCTAGTGTTGGGTCCTGTGTTGAACATTAAGTAAAAGTAGGCCAGCCCTGCAAAAAAGTCTGCAGCAGCTAAGTTGGCCATTAAGTAATAAATAGGAAAGTGGAATCGGCGGTTGACATAAATAGCCACCATAACCAAGAGGTTGGCTAGCATTATGAAGATGCAGACAGTAATTCCCAGTCCCATTACAAGCTTGCTGACAGTGTTCCATTCAGTGGCTAGATATTTTCCACTTCGGTTATAAAAGAAGGCAATGGTTTCATTGTAGTAGCACTGTGGTTCGCTCATGGCTGTGGACTGAAAGAAGAGGGGTTGGGGGGGAAGAGAGAGAAAAAAGAATGACATCAGAACTGAAAACATATGATTGGCTCCACGGACAAAACATGCACAGAGAATGGGGAGGGGGACAGGAAGGGAACATGCTTCAGAACAAATTTATTTTTTCAGATCAAATGGTATTCCACAACTCACAAACAATTGTTCTGAGGAGTCTAGTAACGGCAACCAGATTAGAAATGACCAGCAATGCTTCTACCGGCTGTGTGAGCTAGAATGATTTCTGACATAGTTGTAAATTGCGTAGCAAACGAACTTCTGGACAAGTAGATCTGCTGAAAAATTCACTTAAAAAGAAGAGCATGCAATTCATAATTAAGTTAACTCAACTCTGTTACGTGAGACCTTATTTAAGTTATCAGTGTATAAAACTGTTGTTTGGCCGTAGTGGTGTTAGAAGAGCAACTCCTCAAAGAGGAGGAAAAGTAGATTACAATTCCTAGCAGGTTTTGGCTCATTCAGGTCTCAGTCAGGGGCATTCCTTCTTGTCCTGTCTTAAAAACTGGGAAGAACACCCTAAATTAAGATTGTCAATATGCTCCAAGACTCCAAATTGCTAGGACCAGAGGTTATATCTCTCCATAAAAAATGGAGTGCATGCATAAACAATAAAAGAAGCATGCCACTGTATTTCTATGAGCACTCTTCTTTTTCCATCAGCCACATTTCTAAACAGGCTTTGAAATATACCATGCTTTTAAGTATATCTCATCTGAACTGCCTTATTCCAATTTGAAATATAAGGAGTAAGGAAAAAAATCAGAAAAGCAACATTTGACTTAACTAGCATTAAAAGTATCAAACCTTCTTTCTTGTCTTAAGTACTGTTATGGCTATGTCAGGGAGTACATGAGTAATTTTCCTTGCAGAGTACTCAGCTGAACACAGCTATGGGTGCAACAAATAAGTCCCACACACCACCAGAATGCAGAAGTTTTGCATAAAACTGTTGGCGAAAAAGAAAATGCTTAATCAGTTCTCTTCCTCAGTTATAATCAATTACTCAAGGTGCAATTCCCAACAGGCAAATCTTAGAAATAGAAACCCCTCTGAACAACATCCTGGTTCTTTGTTTACCATGGCTTAACAACAAGGATGTAAAAATAATAATTACAAAAAACCAAACTAAGAAACTCATGTCAAAGAAAGTCTCTTTCTAAAGAGACCCGGGAGACCTGGCTCTGACGCCGTGCTTTTATGGCTGTGGAACTCTGACTGAACTTGAATTTTTACAAAGAGAGGAACAGTTTTAGCAAGAAACCAGGTAATAAGCTCAAGCAAATAACAGAACACCACCACTAAAAGATGAGAATTTCTTCTGTTAAAACATACAAACAAAACCCTATGTTTTGGACAGCTCCAGCCATTCTGCAGGAAATGCTACAGCTAACCTAACCTTCATGTTGAAACCAAAAATATACAGAATCGGGAAACAGCATTAGCAATTGGACTTGAGTGAAAATAGTATCTGATAAAGATTTCCTAAGAATTAACCAAAGCTATTTCTGTTGCCTTTCATTTCCCTCTGTTTATCAAAACAATTAAGCTAATTGCAATAAAGCAATATACAAAACTTTCCACTTATATCCCAAATGCATTACATGACATTTAGATTTATGTTAAAGAAACAGGCCTTTTTAGCATGATTTTACCTCCAACCTAAATATCAATCAGAACCATTTGCAGATCCAGGATAATAAAAAGCTAGAATAAATAGTATTTCTCAGCACAGTAACTATAAAACTTTTATTGTTCCTCTAGGATACATCAACTATTAGGTTAGAAACCTTTCAGCCTTAATTATTCAAGAATTTTAAAAAGTTCTCATGTGGTATCTTTCTGTTGCATAGAAAAAGCAATTTATAAAGGATACTTAACAAAGAGAGACCTAGCTACAAGACATCTGGCTTTAATTCTTTGGTTAAAGACTGTGTGGTAATAACAGGTCAAGTATATGAACGCTTGAGGGAGAGAGGAAGTCATACGAATGAATTAGTGGCCCTTATAAAAGCTTGCCAACATCTGGATTAATTATATGAATGTCCTGTTTTTTTGCTCTCTGCAGGAATATCTGGATGCAGTCTTACAGTCTGTATGACAGAGGAGGTCAGAACTCCAGGATCTAGTGGGCTTTTGTGATCCTGAATAAATTCTCTCTGTCTATACATTTGTCGATTCAGATTTTTCTTTCAGATGGCTGCTGCCCATATGTAATGATTCCTGCTCCACTATTGCTTCTGTGGAGAGAGGCCAGCTACACCCAGTGGAACACGTATTTTTAATCCAGAAAGTTAAAGTGTGATAGATATCACTTTTTTTTTTTTTCTTCTTTTGGTGGCTTTGTTTTGCACATGGGCTTAGAATGTGAATTTTGCCCTGAATTCATAATATCCTCCCCAGCCTTCTCATATGAAATCTGAAACAACATATGGTTAAAAATGGTTATGGTTTATGGTATGGGTTATGGTTTATGGTTTAATGTTATCTGAAACAAGATATGGTTAAAATATTTGTCTTCACAAAATGCCAAACCAGGGCTGAATGTATGCAATGCACATAAGAACATGCAAAATGTTACAGTCAGACTTGTTAAATTTAAAAGTGTGACAGCACTTGAGCAATCCCAGAGGAATAGCATGAGGCTTACTGGCTTCTTCCCTTATTTTGAAGACTCAGGAACAAAATGGTCTGTTTGCATCAGGGCTTTTGGAAAAGTTTTGATTTTAGGGAGTGCTGATCTAAAACCTGGGATCTCCTTTAAAAGCAATCTTTTCAGTCCCAAGGGAAAGAAGAGCAGAAAGAACAGTTTGCTGACAAAAGTTCAAAGAGGGGACTTCCAGATGATCAGCTTTCTCGGATGCCAGCGTATGCCTCACAGGAACATTTCGACCTCCCAGGTCACGAACATGCAAATCCCAAGGCATCACATTTACCTGGGGTGCTGCCATCTGACTAGAAAGGCTCAACCAGGAGGGAAATACAACGTATCTCTCAGCACCCAAAGTGTTAACTTACCATAACAGCATATGCAAGCAGGCAGACCCATCCCCTCTCCTGCCCCTGCAGGACAAGGGGCAGGGAAGTTTATATTTTAATTTCCTGAAGTTTCACTCAGTGTGTTTCATTGCTGGGGTAAGCCAGATGTGCAGTGCCCTGAGATTTACCTCATCCATTTAGTATATCTCAGCAGCAGTTTAAAACAACTGAGCTGCAAATTGCCCATGTTAACTAAACCTCTAGGACAAATCTGTGTAGAAAAAGAAAATGTCTGAATTATAAACCAAGACGACAGATAAAGCAGAACAGACTAATAGCAGGCTAAAAGCAAAACCTCCTGTGACCATGTGAGGTTTGTTTAATACTCAAGACACAGTTGTCCGAAACCAAAGAACAAGAAAATCCCGAATGCATGGAGTTAAATCTCTTAATATCATGAGATGTAGTTATAACCACAACACCGTACACACAGACCAGGAAATTTGGCACCATGACTTAATAAATAAAACTCATTCTGCCTCTACAGGTCTAGTCATCTCGTGGCCAAAGCATCACCTTGGCACTGGCCTTTCCAGCTACTATCTGCTATACTTGTCCTCTCAGCTCCTCTTGTCTGGTGGTATGGGGCCATGCCACTGGGGTGGCAGTGGGGAGACTGGGAAGAGGAGCCCAGATAAGCAACTTTCCAGCGTTTTGTGCTTGATTCATCTGGCTTCTGTCTCACCTCTCCATCACAGATTAAAGAGTGGGGTGAGGATTTGGATCCAAGGCGTGGAGCAGTTTGCCCATAGGGTATCCCTAGGTGAGCAGCCCATTACCCCCTTCCCCTCTCAGGGAAGGAACCAGAGTGGAGAAGGCACTGGCTGCCTGGAGAGGGAAGGTGAGAGGGGATCTCCAGATCCTGCCAGCTCAGTGGTGAGTGACAGCCCACCTGGTGAGGGCTATGCATGGAGAGGGTGGAAAACAAACACCAACAAGTTTTCAAACACCGCTGATTGATACTGTCTAAAAGAAGCATTAGGTAGCAGAAGGTGCCTGAGGGGCAAATGGTAAGTTTACAAACCCCACTGCAGTCCGAGAGTTTGCAGAGTTCCTCAGTCCACCTAAAAAAACCCAAACCCCAAACCAAACAACAACAAAAAAAAAACACCACAAAAAAGAGGACACCCCTCCCTCCGCAGCTTGCATGGGTGCATTTATTTGTTGCCGAGAGAAACACAGCTGAACATTCTTAGAATACTAAGGTCTGACTTTTACAGAGCTTTTAAAACTTGGAAGCCACAAAAATGATTCCATTTCCAAGAAAACTCGTAAAAATATTTTAACCCTAAGCTCTCCAAACACAGTCTGCTCCTCTCTTTTTTTCCCTTTACTGAATTAACCTCGAAATGCTACTGTTTTCTTTATCCATAACACAAAGAGGAGATGAAAAGTGATTTATTTGACAAGGAAGTCTGAGGAAGATGACAATTTTGCATACAATGAAATGCCAAGCACAAACCAGAAACCTCAATTTTGTAGAAATCATGCATCTTACGTGCAGTCTCAAAGTCTGCGAGACTGTGGAGACTCATTCTATACAGGATGAACATTTAATTCTGAAGTAGCTACCCTCGTATCCCCAAAATAATATTTACTATTCTCAGCGCTGTCTAGAAATCCAGAAAACATTTCAGAGGAAATGTAGAATTGGGAATGATAGACTAGGACTCCAAAACAGCAATAGACAGCTTTACATTTAGTGCAGCAGTGAATGGAAAAACAGTAGCAATGCTTTCAGTTTAGGTAAATACTCTGAAGTTTATGAACATACCAGGAAGGCTAGAGCTGAAAAACTTCATGGAATTGTCAACTTCAAAATCCCCAAATAAGGGTATCAATTAAGAATATCTTTAAAATAAACATAAGCAAGTATAGGAATAATTGAATCAATATGTAAATATTTTCTCAACCCACAACTGCAA